CAGAGCAAATTATTTCGGACAACGGACTCGAAATAAAAAATTCGGTTGTAAAAGAATTATTGAAAATTCACAAGATAAACATACACTTTATAAGTTCTCAACATCCAGAATCCAACGGTCTAATCGAAAGATTCCATTCAACCATTATAGAGCATATTCGACTTCTAAACAACCAAAAAGAGTACAAAAATGATGATATAAAGTGCAAAATAAACTATGTGTTATTAGCTAACACCATTCATAACGAAGCTGAAGCCTTATGAGAGAATCACAGGACACTTGAGAATAATAAACACAAAACTTATAAAGGATTACACATCTAATCACTGCGATAAAATCAAATTTCTTTATCAAAAACTCAACGAAAACATTCAAAAACAAAAAGAAAAAATTATTTCAAAAACTAATGAGACAAGAGAAGAAACGCCCACTATTCCTGATACAGTTTATGTTCAAAATAAACAAAAACAGCAGAATAGCAAAGAAATTTAAGCCCGAAAAAAATTAAAACTATAAATAAAACACTGAAAACAGCTAAAAAATTCATAAAACACACGATAATACTCAGGAAAAAATGTATCTTTCAAACCTAAAAAGACTTAAAAAAACCTTGCACACCCAAGAAATCAAAGACCTCACCCATAACCAAGAAATCCTACCAATCGACCTAGGACCCACAAAACTCCAACGTTCGGAAACCTTGTAATGATCCGGAAAAATAGACCCGACAATTACAATGTCTTTGTAAAAATTAAATGTAATCAAATAATCAAAAACTGAATTTCCCGTATTTCAAATCAGTATTAATAACTTGAAAATGAAACAAATTAACGTTGACCCCAAATACGTTCACAATTATATTAGGTATTTAATCACCAAGCGTGATGTCATCTCCTAACTCAATCAAATCAATGAACTTTTTAAAAGCGAGGCCATAGTAATTAAATCGATGATTTATGGCATTCTTGAACCAAAAAAATTTGTTGACCTCTATAAACCAGGATATTGCGACATGATTATTCGATTTTAAACAAATAAAAATGACAAAGATTGCATCATCCTCCGAAAAAATGATGAAATTAGTTTTTGGAATAATATCTGGGTCGACCAATCGAATTGATTTACAGAGCGTCACGACCTCCCATATTGTCAGTTTAGGTGGGCGAATAAAAATAATATAAAAGGGGACGGCCGTGAAAGATAAAGCAATCTTAATTCAATTGTCGATAGCCTCAGCTAATTAGTAGTACCTGTTCAGGAGTGGCGAATTGCCTTAGTTTAAAAAGCCTCGGAAAAGGCAGAATTCAAGTGAGAATTTCATACAAAACTGGTATTCCAACAATAAACTGACATGTTTTGATTGTTGATTTGAACCAATCAGATTGGAATTAGGCGATAATTTGCACTAGTGCAAATAATGGGATAGCCCTCGTTTTTATTCTCATCGATGACTTCACCGATGAGTAAGCTATCTTTGTTTAGTGAATGGAAAATGACAATGACGGCCATAGAATGGTGGATCCATCGGTATAATTTGATGAGAATAAAAACGTAGGGATAATTGCATAGTAACTGGTTCGAGAACTGGTGCTTTGACATTTTTTGACAAATTCTCATATACATATAATACCACAAGAGAAAAAATTTTGTTGGTAAAATTTTCGACTGGTATGAAAGTTTGTTGCTTGGCAATTTCGCGAATGACATTTCTGACAAAACCACGAGCCGTCAGGCGAGTGGTTTGTCAAAAATTTCATGAGCGAAATTACAACAAACTTGAATAAAACCAAGAGAATAATTTTGCCTACATAATTTTTTCTTGAGTGGTATTCGGCTGGACTATTTCACGAGAAAAACAAGCCAAAATTTTATTTGAGAAATTTATTTTCTTTAGGTGACACTTGTCAAACTCACTAGTTTTTTACATTAACCACACAAAATTTTGTCGCTGAAAAACCATCATGTTGGTTTTCTCCAGGTAGGAACAGGTAGAAGTTTTGTCAGTAGGAAACCGGCCGTTTCTATGACATTTTGCTAGTGTAAAACACTCTAGTGAAATATTCTCATGAAATAAAATCTGTTTTTTTTTTTAAAGATAATTCCCCAAGTCAAAAATTTAGTAACTATGTTGGCAACACAAGCCTTTTCTACATGAAAAATTTGAAAGCATTGACAATTTTACATTGTATTGCCAACCTAATGTCAGTTTGACTTTTATCTTTAAAAAAAAAACGCACTTTACAACTTGTGCAATGGAAATATATCTTTAATTTTCGACAAATTTGCACTCATGCATTTTTAACTGAAAAAGGCACTCGTGCACTACGTGCACTCCAGCTAAAAATGCATTCGGGCAAATTTTCCAAAAATTATCGAAAATTTCCATTGCCCTCGTTATATTATAATTGAATATCTCGTTGAAGAAAATAGTAAAATCTTTCCGTTGTTATGTGCGTGCTCTAGCTATTTCTGACTTTTAACAGTGATTCTGAATGATAAGAAGTGAATTGACAATGACTTTTAATGCCTAAAAACTTGAGTGATTTTGACTAGTAAAACTTTTTGACTTTATAAATGATGAATCAGCAGGCTAACTTGAGTGACATCCCGTGTAATAAAGGAATTCATTGTCGGGATGTCACTAGCGGCCATTTTGGGATACGAGACAGGACCTGATTAACAATAAATTAGATTTTTTCTTTCGGGTCACAGAGTCGTATTGGCTTTAAATAAACTAATTTAATATTACTCACATATAATAATATTTATCCTTAAGTACTAGTTTATTAATATTTTTAAATATACAAGAATGATAACTTACACCATAAATGACAACACGAATATACTAAAATGACTTTGAAAATCATAACTAAAATTCCGCTCTACACCGCACGCCTATGACCTCCGTCAGAAATAAACAAATAAATTAAAATGTCGGCGTCCCTGCCGTTTAATGACAGGATGGTATCCCCTAATGGCGGCGTGCGCAGAAAAGATGCGCGTGAGAGTTAGCCTGCTGATTGTTTTTTTATATGCTGTGGAATGACTATGAAGTGAATTAACTTTGGAACTTTATTGCATAAATATTAATAACTCGAGTGTTTTGACTATGGAACATTATTGCATAACTTTAATTGCCTTCGAGTATAATGACATTTTAAGTTAATTTTGCAAAGAAAATATGAAGGGAATTTATAATGCTCTTAACAATATACGATTTTGAGTAGGAATTATTAATTAAACATTTGTGTTTATTGGCTAGGAATCCGGAAATAGTAATTATTCTGATTAAATAAACCATTAAATAAAATGGAAGTTTCGAAAAGAAACTTGTTGTTTTTCATTAAATAAAATTGCTGTCGATAATTATTAGAAGTAATGGAAGGTTTATTTGAAAATTGTTGTTCATGAAGAAACATTGATAACCTTAAGTGCTGAAACTTGAATTAGGGTTTTTATTTTTCATGTAGAAATTATTGTAAGGTTTTTATAAGAATAAGTTAGTAATACCAATACCTTTATACTTAATCCAGTGAGTCCGATTATGACTTAAATAATTATTTTGATTTTGCATAAGCAGTCAGTAAAGGAACTTTTTAAGAATTTATATGTAGATATAGGTGGAGGGTAGTTTAATAGGAATATGAATCGGAAGTGTTGTAATGCATAAACCTAAAAGTTATTAAGAATAGTAGAAATAGGGCGTTTCTTTTTGTATGGATATTTCCTGGTCCGTAATAATGACATTTGAACGGATGTGAAATAATTTGAATTGGGAAAATAGATGTGGCTGTCAGAATAAAAAGATATTTTGCTGACAACCTGATAAAATCCTTGAGTGGCATATGTACCCAAAGTAAACCATACTATTGCTCCAGCTAGTCGCAAACTTCGACGCATCTTGTAGAGAAGAAATCCCGTTCTGTAGAAAACCGAAAAATGCACACTCACCAAACTAGACATCATATGGGAGAACCATATCGAAATTATTACAAATTTAAACCGATATCTTGTTGTATTGCCATCAAGGGCCGAGAAAATCTACATGACTTGTGATAATAGAAAAGAGTCCAAGGAGTTAATAGGAATCTTTTTGATTGAAAATAGCCCTTGCGAAATATTCTTTAGAGGTAACAAATTGAACTTTTCAAAAAAAACTTATGGAAGTCCTCTGCTATTCAACATTCCTAAGTTCTCGATGCAAATTTAGTATACAATTGAAAACATTGGGTCTCAAGGAACTGCACATTAACCACATGAAGATGAAACCCGCTGAAGACCTTTATACGCCCAGTTTATGGACCATATTCCTGTACATTGTTCTAATGCAGTAAGACTTTTGTACAGAAAATACTCCACTACTTTATGAAAAAGAAGACCAAAACACCAATTGTTACAGATGCCGAAACCGAGCAAGAAACAGAAATACTAAAGAAGCTGCCAGGAGGAGCTTTATTCTGAGAAAGGAGGAACTATACACCCTGTATATACACACGACTTCGAGCTCAGGCGCTTGTCCCGATTGACCCACTTCCGATTTCTACACATTATGTAGCGTTTGGTTTCAATTGTTTTACAGCTAAGAAGCTTCAAAATTGAAATAATTAGGGATCGAACATTGATACTTCCAAAAATAACTCTGAGATAGTTTTCGCCTCACAGCTCTGTCAATTTTTATACGATTTCAATGTAATTAGGCTCTAATTTAAGCCAATTAAATTCTCTACATACAAACCCATTAATTATTATTTTAATTTAGTTTCAACAGTTTTACACCTAGGAAGCTTCAAAATTGAAATAGTTAGGGATCGAACATTGACACTTTTCCAAAAATAACTCTGAGACAGTTTTTGCCTCACAGGTCCGTTAATTTCCATTCGATTTCAATGTAATTAAGCTCTACTCAAAACCAATTAAATTCTCTACAACCTCATCAGGCAAATAAATCAACCGAACAAAACTGCACTGTTGCCAGTTTTATTATAGTAAAAACTACTTACAGAAAACGACAGCCAAAAACTCTTTAGTTTCGATGTACTTGAACAACGTTTGTCGATCAATTTCCTCGATGCTTTGATCATTTTTCTGGTCTGTCATCCAATCCAAGACTTCGTGAACATCCAGTAAGTTTCCTAAAATATTCGATGTTGCAATAAATAATTCAGGTCTGGTAATCTTGCAATTGGATTCAATTAACGGTTAATTAACGGATAGCAGAAAAGTAAGAACTCACCATTTCATTTGCTCATCTCCTTCAACAAAATTATTGTCTAATCTCTGAAAACAAAACCTCAAAAACTCGTAAATCAAAGACAATTTCTTAACAGTAACAGGAAACAAAATTTATTCTCCATTTTGTATTTTTTTTTTTTTATAAATTCAAACATAACTGTGATGTTAAAACATGCGAGGTGCGCTTCTTAGCGGCAGTGATGTTGACGCTAACGATGATTAACTTTTTGACAAATTTTGATTAAATCAAATTTCGTTAATAGAAAAAGCAACCCTTGACGACGTTTTGTATTATTGATGTTGAGCCATTTGAGAGTCAGAAAACTACATAAAGGGTTGATTTTTTTTTTTAATAACTTAAATAACAAATAAAAGTGCTATTAAAAATGATTATTAATAAAAAATAATCTCATTTAAAAGCACCTTAAAAACTAAGATGCACTTATAATAATTAATATTAAATAATAGTAACAATATAAATAAATTGCTGTTTTTCGATTCAATATTCAATAAATGTGCCTTTGATGTTTGAAAAATACAAGAAATAGATGGAATTTTTTCATAAGTTAAATTGGGAAATGTTTAAGCTTTTCTTGGGTCTCTCTTGGATTTTTCAAACTTGTCAGTGGAGTACAAAAATATATATTTGAGTTTCAAATTATAGGTTCCCTAGTTGGACAAGCTATAAGCACAGGGATTACATTTTAAGCAAATATTTTAACAGTAACAACTAAATAAATCAATGTTCATTTATACAGTTTCGATATCTTAATACTAATTTCGATGTCCCAAAACTAGCTGATGATATCAAGGATTTTCATCAGATATTTTTGGGATAGACGAAAGCAAATTATTGAAAAAGAGTGTATATAATTTTGCTATTTATTTGACTAAAGTTACAAAATAAAATTTGAGCACTTACTACTTACTAAAATAAAATTAAAAATCTACGATTAAGGTAAACGATTGCGCATGAAAAAAAGAAAAATTAGTTTTAAAAATCAGCGGTTTTCGTTATTCATTCATATTAGACAGTTGCCAGTGTAGGTCCGGTTCTCATGCTGCAATTCACCATGACAAATGATACGATATTGTTACCACCACCATATATATTTACCAGTGCCCAAGAATCCTTTTTTAGCTTTGCCAGTATTGGTTTTTTCCTTGATAGGAGGTGGCAAATTCTTCTCTCTACCCTTCACTTCGTGGTTAGCTTTCGATACCTTCGTCAAAGGTTTTTCTTTCGGTGTAGGTTTTTGAGTTTTTTTTGGTGTCGCTTTCGGACTCGGCAACTTCGGCTGGATTTTGGCTACTTTACTGCTTTTGGCCGGTTTGCTCGGGCAGCACTGGAACGGTTCGTATTTGGAGGCTGCCGGATATTTGCTTGGTCTGCCTCCCATTCCGATGTAGAAACAGCCGTCCCCTGTGAGCAGAACATAATGTCAGATTATTTGCGGAAAAATCATTTTTTTTTTTTTTTTTGGATTATTATTGGCATGCTTTCAATCTCAAATGTATGAGGATGAATGGTTTGGGGGAGGGTTCCAAAACACAGCATTGGATTTAATAGCTAATATTTATACAAGCAACCCTTATTTTTTTAACAAATTAATATTAGCTATCGAATCGAAAATTTCAAATCCCACCTCGTTGTTAGTATAAAAGGATATTAGTGGGAGTAAGTGAGAGAGAAATTCAATCAAATGAATTTTAAATTGGTTGGCGCGTCTGACACTATGCCTGCTAGCAGAGCGGCTGTGTATTATAATTGAAAAATTCTTTATACAGGGGCATTGAATTTTTTTTTTTCACCCCCACTACTCCATCAGTGCATAAGCGGCATTGTTTTTAAAATAATATTAATATGGTTCCTTTAAAATATTAACACTACTACATTCGGGCTCCATTCGGTCTCTACGGGTTGGGTCCTTTGCGGGATAAATTGGTTATCGATTATTGGTAAAAGATTTTTACCAATTTCTCTCCAACCAAATATTTGCAACAAAATCAACAAGAAATCGTAACCTCAAAATCGATCCTAAGCGTCCGCTTCTTCCTCTTTACCTGAAAAGCTCTTAATCAATTGCGAAAATGATTGCGTCTCGTCGTTATCATCATCTTCATCATCGTCATCGTCATCATCATCATCGTCATCTTCATCGTCATCATTGTCATCATCATCATCATCATCATCGTCGTCACTATCATTACCTAAACGAGACAGCACACATGCAACCTCATCGACAAATATAGAGTGACTTAATCTATCATGCAGAAAAAAAAACGCACCTCGCATTTAGCTAGTAGTTTTAAAAGGCAAAAGTTTTACATTTACCAAAATTGAGGTTTTAGTTTAGCAAAAGATATAATTTGAAAAATAAAGTCGAATTAAGTGAAACTCTTACTTTTCTGCTCGACAAGCCAATCCAATACCTTGTCCTCGTTTTTAAGATTTCCTATAAGACAAATATTTTATGTGAAAAAGATATTAGTTGAAAAAACTATTTACAATAGGTATGTTAATGCTATTTTTTTTTTTGTAAATTTCTTACCATCGTACATGATGGGAACTCCTGTTTCGTAGTAGACCAGAGCAGGGAAGCTGAAAATTCCAATTTCCGATGCTAGTTTTGCGTCTTTGGATTTGACGAATTGAATGCCTGGAAAGAATTTGAATAGATTATTCAAAAATGGACACAACTCTACTAGAGCTAAAATTCAAACAAGAATGGCATAAGAATTATATTCTCGGCGCTCCTAATGCCAAAAATTGAACTAGAAAAGTTTATATAACCTTGATTTTTCACCATTCAAGAAGTAAAGTTGGGCTAGAGGTGGTCAAGAAGCTTGTCTAACCCTTTCAGATTGAGAAAGTGTGAAAATCTCAATTCCAGCTCTATAAGAGCTAAAATTGAAACAAGAAAGGCATACAAATTCTATGCTCGGCGCATTTTATGCCAAAAATTGAACTAAAAAAGTGTGTACAACTTTGATCATTCAAGAGGTAAAGTTGGGCTAGAGGTGGTCAGCAAGCTTTGCCTGACCCTCTCAAATTGAGAAATTGTAAAAATCTTTACCCAGTGTAACAAAGTTCCAAATCTCCCCTTAGAACTAAATGACACTGAAACGCCCCAGACGAGACACATGCCAACTTAGAGCAGGTAAAGCGCTGTGCTACGGACATAAGGAGTAGGAACGCGCCATTCTGCTTATGAAATTAGGCAATAGACCGATCTCCTATTACCTGGACTGCGCGCGTCGCTTGTAGGCTGCAGGTGAGCGTCCAATGAGAAGCAAGTTTATGACAGGCTTGCCTCATATTCTTATTCAGGGGCCAGTTCAGAATGAATAGTTTCTTCTTTCTTTGTAACGTGTAATTTGACAAAGAGCAAACTAATACTTTACATATTACTTGAACTCACCGCAGTTTCGTTTAAGGTTATGTTAGATTATACTTGACGTATTCCTTCACAATTTCATTGAGCGATGTTGCCGGATGAAACATTTATCAAAATAAAAGTGCAAACGATGTTTATCCATTTCAAAGCTCTTCTTTTGTCTGATTTAAGGCGTTGTGAAACACTTGAGACTATATTACTTCTTTAATGTTATAATGTTGGATTTGTATTGTCTACATTTGTTCTGAAACAATACAATCTGACTACACTGCAGCCTACGAGTTGCGCGCGCATGTCATCTTTTATTCTTTTCTAACTTGTATTTATTACAATGAAGTTTCCTTTTTTTAATCATGGGAGATAGGTCTATTCAATCCATCTGTCAAAAAGGAAAATTCAATGTGACGTGGCGGCCAAGCAAGCTTGTTTTGAATATGTTTTTATGCGTATATTAAATCAATTTGCATACAGTTTTGCTTACAACTTTGATTTTCATTATTTAATAAAATATTTGTTGACTAGGTACCTAAACTATTAACACAGCATATACAAAAACAATCAGCAGGCTAACTCGAGTGACAGCCCGTGTAATAAAGGAATTCATGGTTGGGATGTCAGTAGCGGCCATATGCGCAACCGCAGTTCAATTCAGAACTGATTCTGAACTAAGTCCGAACAAACCTATTATTGGCCGAGTTCGTTTTGTCATCTTTTTCGTCGATTTGCTCCGACATTTTGACAGGCACGTGATTTGTAAATTAAAACTGCCTTAAGGAGGCATTACACGGCGCGTGGAACGTTGCGTGAACTGGCGCTCCACACGCCGTGTGAGGGGTCTGGCGCGGCAAATTTCGCGCCGCGCGTCTGTTCCCGTCGATGAGCGGTAAATTTGACACACTTCAAAGGAAACGCGCCGCGCGTGTTGGAGCCACTCGGGGAATACAGTCACACGGCGCGTAGAGCGAACGGGAGCGGGAAATTCACCAATAAATTTTTTTTAAAAGTAATTCCTGATATTACTAAAACGAAGATGTTGTGGGAGAAGGCCTCAACACGCAATGCGCGAACTTTTATCGAGGGGCGCGAACTTGCAAATTTATAGGCCGTCTGACTGCAACCACACTCCACGCGCTTGGCTTGCCAGTTCACACTCCACGCGCCAGGCGCGCCGATCCACACGCCGTGCAAAGCCCCCTTTATCCAGTCACGTGCCTGTCATAATTTCGAAGCAAATGGACGAAAAAGTTGACAAAAACGAACTCAGCTATTGTCAATCTAGGATTTGGGCCAGGTTCCTAAAGTTGATGGGTTGTCTGGTAATGGGTAACTTGATAACGCATCTGGGATGCCTTATGGATATTTGCATTATGTTGAGGCACCCCAGATGACGTCATAAAGTTGTCAGGCAACCTATCTCTGAAACAACCTTGGGATTTGGGTACATTCAAGCGGTTCCAGGGACTAAGCTCAGCTACTCAGCAGGGACTTTATTCTCGAAACCGAGGAACAGCGTTCTCATGAGAATGATTACTCTGTCATTGTCAGTGTTATGGAAATATGAATACGGACGACGAAGACAAGACCTTCGTTCTCATGAGAACGCTTCTCCCCTGTTTCGAGAATAAAGTTGAGGAAAACCACCTATTTAAAATATTATTTCTTCAAATTTTAATTTTTTAAAAAAACTTTTACTGAATAAAAGTAAATGTTGCAACCTTGTCTGTGCCATCAAATTTAGGGGTGACCGCGTTCGACCACAAGGAACGATACTGCGAACGGCAGATAAAGTCTTTTTTTTTTTAAGATAATTCCCCAAGTCAAAAATTTAGTAACTATGTTGGCAACACAAGCCTTTTCTACATAAAAAATTTGAAAGCATTGACAACTTTACAATGTATTGCCAACATAATGTCATTTTGACTTTTATCTTTAAAAAAAAAACAGGCTTTAGAGAAGACGCAACTAGACTTGAGAACAAGCTGGGACTGGTTCCTTTAGACGCCTGTCTGTAATTATTCATTATTCAATTTTCATTTCTATTTTGCATTAAAATTGATTGTTCAATCCAATTTGTTATTAGTGTGTGTGTAAGGAGCGTTCACAGGTTAGTGGATTGAATGTTATTTTATTTTTGAGAGTTCAATTTATGCAAGTTCCTATTATTTTGTTCATTTTTATGTATTTTTTGTTTGTCTATAACATTTTTTATAACATGTGCATTGTTCATGTATTTAACAAAAATCGTTTCATACTGTAAACAACACAGATAAAGAAGTAAATTAGAACCTAAGAAATTATGTGCTGAGATTTTCATTTTGTGGATTTAGAGCGTACATTGGGGCCTTGTTGAATTTACTAACATTTTCCTACCCTGACGAGAGAATATCCTAGCAAATTGAAATAATCAATCTAGAGATATTTGCTCAAAAACAACTATAGCTGAGTAGCTTCCCGTATGGGACCTCAGTACCTGCTGGGAAACTGGCTAACTAACCAAAAACTCTTCAGTATTGAATATAGGTAGTGTTGATTGAATGTAGTGTGTGTAATTCAAATTTCAGCACAAGAACAGGGGCGGTACCTAATTTAAACTTTTATTATTATTAAAATGACACAGTATGTTTCGATTTTTGAGGAATGTTAGATCGAGGGTTTCTCTGCCGTGCTCTTTCCCCTCGTTAGTTCCAGGATATGAACGGTACGATTTACTTTAATAATAGAGTAGACGTTTCACAAATTTTTCGTTTCTTTTCCATATCACAACTTCCCTTAAATTTCCCTAATATTTGCTATGTCGGGCGCATGTCCAGTAAGTAAAATTGAGTAACTTTCCACGTAGGTCCCATTTGTTTTTCATTACGTTTTTCAGAATATTTGGTCACGTTCACCAGCACTAAACATGTTGAGTGATTAGTTAACGGCTTTGTTGAAAACAGATAAAAATCAGCTCTAGACCAATCAAAACTGTTCTACCTTGTGTATTTCACTTGTTGGAACAAAGCCGTTTACTAATCACTCAACATGTTGAGTACTGGTGAACGCGACCTTTGTTGTTTAAAAGGTAATAAAAATTCTCATCGTTCAATTTTACTGAACGAACCCGGGTAAGTTATACTACAAAGTCGTCCGTGCTGAGTGGCTGAACTTAGCCGCTGGCACCACCTGAATGTACCCATTGAGTGATTGTTGTTTTGGTGCGGTGTTTTTTAAGCCTATGCAAAACATGTGACTTTGACAAGCAAACAAAGGGTTTCCGTTTCTCTTGGCGGACATTTTAATCTAAGTTTGACACCATCTTGGAAAGGTCTAGCTCATTGGGTCTAGCCTATCCAAAACACGCGACTTTGACAAGCAAACCAAGGGTTTGTGTCAAAGGTTGTTTTTGTGTGTCCCTTGGCGGATATTTTAAATTAAGTTTAACAGCATCTTGGATAGTCTAATTGTCCAATCAACAAAATGTTTTTACATGCGGTGCTGCCAGCTTTTTTAATTTAACATCCGCCATTCAAATTTCATCTGTTGTACAGATAGAATTTATCCTTTTTTACAACTTTATTAATAAGCAGAACCCTTTATGACGTCAGAAAGGATTTTGTTTGAATGAAGTCCCGTTTTCAAAAATTATTATAAAAAAAGTAGGGAACGCAGAAAAAAAAGGAAAGCACGTTATGAATAAGCAAGCAAAATACCATTTAGCCCATGGTTAACTACGGGAAGAAAGTGTCATACAATGTATATTTTAATTTTTTTTTATATTTTAATTTGTTTGTATTGTTCAAATATTTATAAAGTCTTAGTTTTGTGTTTCCGTTTTAAAAGCAAGATTTTACCGATTATATCGAGATTCTAAAAAACCCAGAAAAAACCCAACGGTACATTGGCGCCCAACGTGCCGGAACTTCGAAGAATTGTCGGTGAATTTGTATTTTGTGCGGGACATTTTTTCACGCGTTTTCGACTTCTACGGGATCGTTCACGACAGAAAATCGTTGCGGACTTTTTGGTTTTTTTCGAAAACACTTGTTTTATGAACTTCTGTTGTGTTCACACCGAATTATTTGAGTTTGGTTGAACTTTGAAGTTGTAATTGATACTTTTACTGAAATATTTTGTTGATTCCTTGTTTCTGCTTTTGGATTAGGCGGATTAGTACAAGCATTTTGAAACTTCACGAAGGATTTGCAGGTAAAAATGACGATATATGTAGTAGCGCTTGCGCTTGGGTTGCGTTCGAGCTG